TTCTTGCGAGAATGTATCCCCTAATGAGGAAACAGCTCAAATACCTTGGTTTGGGTTTATCAATAAAAACATCTGAACTTATATAGGGAGACTTTTATTAGAAAGGCTACTATAATTAGCAGAAAGTTCCCACTTTAGAAATCTACAAGCAGGGCCTTTTCTGGTGGTGCAACAGGTTAAATTGCAGCACTATGAAGCATCAGAAGCCACTGCAGCATAAGTGGCTGACCAGGGAGGTGACCCACACGGCACCGCAGAACTCTCCTGACCCACCCGCAGCTCCCCTCTGCTGTATATTTCAGTACATCTGCCTGTTCTGCTCTGGCCTTTGTCTATGCTGAAATCTTGCACTCCCACACCTCTGACCTAGACCCCAGTTCTTGTATGCATAAATAAATAAATCTTTAAAGAAATCTACAAGCAGCTGAAAGTCAAATGTAAAATTGTGGGGCTTTTTATAAAGTGAAGGAAGGGCAGGGAAGCAAAATGTTTGGAGGAAAAGCGGGAGGGACCAGCAAGAAAAATGACCCTACTGGTGTTTGTCAGGACAACCTCCTGCTGTGGACAGCTCAGGTCCCAGGGAAAGCTGATGAGGCACATACTTCACTTTTTCAGTGTTTGCTCAGGTTTGGGGGCAACAACAAGTTCAGGGGTCTGCAGAAGAGGGAGAGAAGCCTGACTGGCAAAACAAAGAGAAGGAATTGTGAACATGAACTAAAAGCAAGCAATGTCTTGACAGCATTGTGCTAGATTGTGAATTCAAGAGAACAGATCTTTCTGGAGGCAGGTGAATTTGTCTACAGAACACCATTGAACAGACAGCCAACAACATAGCCAATCACATTATTAGCCAGAAAAATTAAATTCCTTTATCTCCTCCTGTTGCTAATCCAAAAAAAAAAAAAAAATCTATTCCAGCAGAGTACAGGGAAGGAAAAAAGGTACAATTTCCCACATCCATTCAAGCCGTCTTTTAGCACCTGAACTATACTGACTTTTTGACTCAAGTCCTCAGCGTAGAGAAACAGGGCCCCACAATTGCAAAAGTTTGCTGGATTTGCAAACCACATCACTGCCCTCTAGAATAAGCCAGAGGATAAGGCAGACAGGTCAGGCTTCACACAAATCACAGAGAGCTGAATAAAGTTCAAGTGGGTGGATTGAACTTGAATCAGGAAAGTCACCTAACAGCTAACAAATTACACATCTTAGGTGAGACTGACCAAACTGAGCTGCAGGCAGTTCGCTGGTCAACTGAATATCTCAAATGTTCAGATTTAAGGAGGGAAAATGCTTTTGGAGAGTAATACATGAGCATTACCAAACTGAAGTACAATCAACTGGTTATTTGGGGGTCTCGTGGGATACTATGGTTTGGATTTAGACATTAACAAGTTCCTCCTTTTTTAGGAAAACCCCCAAATTGGGGCGGCAGGGAGAGGATAGCAAAACTTACCAGCACTAAAACATACTCTAACTTGGTAAATTTGCTGGAGCTGCAGTAGCACAGAGGGGTCCCCGGGAGCGGGGAGCCCGGGCGACAGCTACTACCCGACCGAGGTACTGGGAAAATCGTTCTGCTAACTAAAAGGGTTTTGAGGCTGTCCTGTGCAGCCCTGGAGGGGCAAATTCCTAAAGAAACCCAGCAGAATGCACCCACAGCACCACCCAATTTTGCATTCCAAAGTCAGCTTCCTTCCTACCGAGTCCAAGACGCTTCAGGTCGCCCCCCACCACCTCAGCTTATCACTCCAGGGAGCCTGCCGCAGGTGACCCCCTACGGTGCCTCAGGCGCCAGATCTGCCTTCCCCGCCTCTGGCCCCTTTCTCAAGCCACTCCGCGGCGCCTCAAGTTTCCGCTCTCCGCCGCAGGTCATCCCTCCCAGGGCGTACCCCCCCGCCTCAGGTCCACCCCTGCCGGTGCCTCCCGCATCAGATACCCCTTCTCCGTTTTGAGGCCTCTGAGAGACATCTTGCTCACTATCTCAGGGCGCCCTCTCCTCAGGCCCGCTGTCCCCGCCTCGGGTCGCATCCTTCGGCCCCTCAAGTCCTATTGCCCCGCTACCTCGGAAGCGCTGCAGCAGGTCCGAGTTACTGATGCCACAGTGCTGCAGGAAACAGCACACCTGCTCCGGATCCCAGGTCTTATGGTTCCAATGGAGCGCGAGGCGTGGGGACCCCTTCGCCTCTACGATAGGGGTGTTTGGCGGCGTTCTCGGGCTGCTGTCGCATCGTGCCCGCTTAGGGGGTTGCTCTGAATCGGAACTCTGCATGGCCACATCCAGCGCCCGGCTCTGTACAGTCAAAAAGCGGGCGCCCACCGCGCAAGCGCACTGACAGTCGAGCCCTGGTGGCGAGTCAGCTAAGTAGTGCCGGCCCCCGCCTCCCGCGCATGCGCGCTGAACAGCTCATCGGTGGGGGCCGGCCACTCGGCCAGTTTAGCCTTGCGGCTTCTTGCGCAAGCGCCGTGATAATCCAATGGCCCTCAATTTTGCCAGGGACATTTCCGAGAAAGGGCTGTAACGGAAACAAGGGCGTGCCAAATAATGACATTTGTCATGAAAATTGTGCACATGACCTGTGGAAAGTCCCTCCACAGTTCTGAGCTGGAATCTTGGGGTGAATTGAGCGTTCTCTCTTCCAAGTATTATCCCAGGCTTGTCCTTGGCTGTGTGTCGGTGACCCAAACCAAAAAGCCAGCCAGGCTGCCAATATCTTAGGAAAGATGGGTAAGAAACAAAACTGAAAGATCCTGGAATGATATAAAATATGCTGGGAAGGTGTTTTCTTGCATTTCACAAGTTCTACAATATTGCTGGGCTGCTAGAGGGCCCTGGATATGCCTGTCCACAAACTCTATTAGACTTATCTTTAGGTTTCATACAGAATCTGTTACAGGACAGGGAAAGGGGCACCCCAAACCCCCCCAAACCTGCTCATCCTAAACCTCTGCCATTTGCTGCATCAAGACAAAACATACTCTAGTGCGTAAGACCTTTAATGGAAAAGAACTTTAATACAATTAGTGTGCAATGCAGAAGGGAAGAATGGGGATGAATATAGTTTCCAAATTAATATAGTTTTGGGTGCTTTGAAGCACCCAAAGTTACCTGTTCCATTGTAGGTAAATGTCCAGACAAACAGGGTTGGCCCAAAGCAGGGACACTGAGGCCTGAAAGCCTGTCATAACTCCAAGGCACCTTCTGGTGAGGACCCACAGGGAAGGAGGCAGAAGGGGCCCAGCACTTCTGGAAGGAAAAGAGCAAAATCAAAATCAAGATTAAAAACTATTAACCTGCCCCACAGTCTTACAGCTACATCTGTTTCAACTGGTCCAAGACCAAAGAGCAAGCACAGTTTCTTCATGCTTTCTTTCAGTTCCAGGTGCTTCCTCCAAGTCTCCTTCTAATTCTCCATCCTTCCTCCTTCCTCAGCCACCTCTCCACCTTCTTCTCCTCCCTGCTCGGCTCCATCCTCCTCTGGGTGGGACAGGGAACCTGGAACTGATACTGGTAGCTGTGCCATTGTGTTGTATAATGTTTGTAATTACACCAATGTAGAGGGTTTGTCCAATATTCACCACAGATATGTTGATAAAATTCCATATGGGGAATGTAACTAGGTGGCTGAAGCCAAGGGCTGTTGCAGGTGGTATCCCTCCCTGAGGGGATTGCTGTGAAGACCAACTTTCTCAGGGATGATGTTAAAAAGTATCTGATTTTGAAGTGGGGCTTCCTTGGAGAGGAAATGAGAAGGAAGAAGGGGCTAGCGAGAGAAAGGAGAGGGAGAAGAAAAAAGGTTCATGTTTGTCCCGGCTCCAGCATTCAAGGTTTGAGTTTCCTCAGCATTTTGAGGGCCAATGGATTTGAGCCCTGGACCACACTGATCCTGGAGAAGGCCACTGTGTACTTCTGAAGGTGGAGCCAGAAGCAGCTTTGTGAATAGCCAAGCTACTGAAACAGTTCCTGGTTTTTGCTGCAGGCACAGTCTGGCTTAGCTGTATGAGTGAGGCCTTTTGTCGGGGCATTTTGGTGGTTGTGGCTTCTGTCCTGAGTGTGGCTCACCTGGTGCTGTGCTGAAGCGTCCCATAGCTCCAGGAGTGTCTCCTGTTGTGTCTTCTGTTCTCTTCGTGAGTTGGAACCTAGCCTGGAGTCTCGCTACCATGTGTCCCAGGTCTGCAGGGACAGGAAGATGCCATCATAAAGTACTTTGTGCAGGACAGTACTGGACACGACTTTGAGTAAACAGCCATTATTGGCGTCAGTAATGCTGTTTGTCCCATTTGTTAGATAAACCCTTTTGGTGTTGTTTCCTGAACCTGAGCAGTCTTGCAATTGTGCATGCAGGTGAAGAACCCAGATAGGATTTGGTAAAGTATTTGGGCAGTGGGCCTTGGCCACTTAGGGATCCCTGTCATGGGCTATCACAACTTCCCTGTTCCTGGGGACCCTGTTACAGAACAGGCATCTCTCGGATGGAATCCTCAACACCTCTCTTTTCTCCAAACCCAGGGGCCCAAGGAAACAAACTAGCCAATCTGGTTAAAATTTATCTTAAAGAACTTTCGGCCCTCCCTGATGGCGCAGCAGGTTAAAGCACAGCATTGAGAGGCTAGGGCCACTTCCGCATGAGTTCGATTCCCGCCTGCCCCGGTGGTGACCACATGGCTTGGCAGACCTCTCCTGGCCCGCCCGCTGCTCCCCTCAGCAGTGTACTTCATCCATCTGCCTGTTCTGCTCCCCACTCTGTCTCTGGTGAAGCCTCTCGCTGCCCCTAAGCCTCTGGCCTGTACCCCAGTTCTGAATGTACAAATAAATAAATTAAAAAAAAAATTATCTTAAAGAACTTTCAAAGAACTTGGTGGTAACAGCTTCTAAAAATGGCAGGAATCTTGCCCTCACTATAACCACTTTCTCCTCTGATGCTGGCAGAACTCAAACTTTCCTATAAAACTTAGTCCACTCAATTAACTGGTAAAGAACCACTATTAAAGCCAATACACCATCCCATCAACCCAGCCATGGAATGCCCCTCACCCGTCACACCCCCTGCCCCCTTGCCAAGAGAAATACGATAAATAGTGATCTGGTGGTGACACAAAATATTCTTAGCAAACACAAACTTTTACTGTGTGCTGGGCACTGTTCTAGAGACCTTGCAAATATTATTTCACTTGAGTATCATAATAACGTGTTAACCTAGAAATCAGGAGACAGTTAAAAGGCAAAGCATGTTTATTTGGAACCGAAGAATTGCATTCAAGAGAGTACAGCTTTCGCTAGAAACACAGTGTCTTAAGGAGGACAAAAGGCAGGGGGTAGTCATTGGTGGTGACAAGCAAGGTAACAAGTAGACTTCAGAGATTGGTTAGGCAAAAGGGGCCACACTGGCTTTTTGACATATAGGCAGCTTGGTCTAGTTCAAGAGTTTATGAGAAAAAAAACAAACAGGCATAAGTGGAACCACTTTAAAATAGGGTCGACTTTTCATGATGGAAAAACTGCTTATTGGCCATTTGTACTGGCCCAAAAGACCCTTGCAGAGCACCAAACAGTAGTTATTTCAGGAACATTTGTTTGAGAACCCAGTAGAACAGACTTCCTGATCATAGGACAGGTGGTTATGAACTTTTGCCAAATGGCAGAATCAGTACCCAGTTATGTATGCAAGTAGTAGGTTAAATTATCTATTAACTCTTTATTTTTTGCTTTATTTACTTTTAAGAAATTTATTTTATTTATTTATGCATACAAAAACAGGGTGTAGGCTAGAGGGGGATAAGAGAATTACCAGAGACAGAGTGGGGAGTAGAACAGGCAGATCTACTGAAATACACTGCTGAGGGGAGCAGTGGGGAGATAGGAGAGGTCTGCTGTGCCAGGTGGGTCAGCTCTCTGGCTGGAGATTGAACTGCTGCAGTGACTGCTGATAGCTTGATTGTGCTGAGACTTAACCTCTTGTACCACCAGGGAGGTCCTTAACTCTTTCTTTAAATACCTCATCTTCCTCTTTTCTTGCCCCCAATCCCCACCTTTTACACCTTTTTGGGGAACACCTCAGGTTTCTATCTAAAACTGTGTATCCCAGGTCTTGGTGCCTCCCTAGTGGCACAAGGGATCAGAATGCAGCAAAGTGAAGCGATCCTAAGTCACTGCAGCACAGGTTCTATCCCTGGCCAGGGAGCTGACCCACATGGCACAGCAGACCTCTCCTATCTCCCCACTGCTCCCCTCAGCAGTGTATTTCAGTAGATCTGCCTGTTCTGCTCCCCACTCTGTGTCTGGTGAGTTCCCTCTCCCATACCCCGACACCTCTGGTGTACCCTAGTTCCTGTATGCATAAATAAATAAAATAAGTTTAAAAATAAGTAAAACTGGGCCTCCCTGGTGGTGCAGGGGTTAAGATCTCCGTGCTGTCAAGTTATTGTCAGCCACTGCAGCATGAGTTTGTTCCTATGCTATAGAGGTGAACCGCATGGTGTGGCAGACCTCTCCTGACCCGCCCACTCTCTCCTCAGCAGTGTATTTCAGTAACTCTGTCTATTCTAGTCCCCACTCTGTCGCTGAATCCTCTCATCCCCTATACTTCTGGCCTATATCCCAGTTCTTGTTATGAATAAGTAAATAAAAATAAAAGTAAAAAGTAAAACTGTCTATTCCAAAACGCAACACTTTAATCCTAAATAAACCCTTGACTGACATTAGTCTTAGGTTTTTATGTTTAGGTTAACAAGCTCAAGAAACAGATGACTAAGACAATTACTCTAGAATAAATCTTCTAGTTCCATTTTTAAATGCCTCCACATTTGTCAACTTTTGTTTTATGGAAATTTTTTAAAGACATTTTTATTTATGCATACAGTACTGGGGTAAAGGCCAGAGGTGCAGAAGTAGTGAGAGGATTCACAAGAGACAGAGTGGGGAGCAGAACAGGTAGACTGATGAAGTACACTGCTCAGCAGGCAGGACAGGTGATATCTGCCGTACCATGTGGGTCACCTCCCTGGCGGGGCATCAAATTCATAGCTAGCTTCATAGTGCTGCACTTTAACTGGTTGTACCACCAGGGAGAGCCCCACTTTTGTCAACTTTTACAAACCTTACAAGGTAAGGAACTGAAGTACAGAGAAATAACAGTAATTTGCCCAATTTCACATAGGTAGGAAGTGATGAAGCCTATATTCAAACCAAGGCAATATGGCCTGACTCCAAAATTCCTTCTACCATGCCTCCATGGTGGCCTAGGTATTAAGTCTCAGTGCTATCACCAGGATGATCTGAGTTCTATTCCTGGGCAGGGAGGTGACCCACATGG